AAGTCTATTATTTTGACGAGATGGGCTCAATACGATTCCGTGTGAACCCTGTGCGGTTGGTCTCCACCCGACATACTCAGTGGAGGACCCATAGAAAGCGGTGTGTGTGTGCGGAGCTGTGTTAAATGTGATTGAAATCTTGGTTTAGCGTTTTCTCTGTTTGCTTATGGAGGTGTTTGGCCGAATAGATTGCTGTCAACTTGACCTTCCCAGGCTCTGAGGAAGGCGAAATCCGCCGAAACGTCGGCTTGTGCGTAAATAAAGGAATAAAATAACACCTCGTGTTTGCTAAACAAATATAAAGAATTGTATTTTTAACTCTTGTTAGTAACAGCATTAAAAACTTTTGCGAAAGAGACATTTAAAATATTTTGCAAGAAATTTAATTGATAGGAAACTGCTTTTCTTTCAGAAGAGAGCCATGTATAATGTACCGCTTCATGCTAACTTAATATCCTACATATCCTTCCCTAGCAATGGGTGGCTTTGAAATGGTTGTTTTTCTTTATGCTGTCAATCATCGTCTTGTTATCTGTCCCAATGATGTGGGAAAGATGAAAATATTTAATATGTCGACATTCCACTCCAATTTCTAAACTTTTCTGATGTACCTTCTTGCGTTGTGAAGCTAACACGTGGTTGATAAGAATGTTTATTCGGCTAACGTTTTGATGTCTTCGTCTTCCTCGGAGCTGATGATCTGAGTCGATAGTGCACAGTCGTTCGTCTTCTCGATGTGGTGTCTTCGTCGTCCTATTGAGTCGAATCCCCTCCAGATGAGCATCGCACGAACGTAGCAACCTCATCCTACGGTGCTCTTTTGTACAGCACATTTGTTGTTGGCATGATTTTTCGGTGATAATGGCTTATTTTTCCCAGATAATCCGTCATGGAGAAGTTGGTATCATTAATCACACACCGAGTGAGCGTTTCAATCTTTGTAGACCATCGACTCGGATCGTTGGCTCTGATGGAGACGATGATGTCGAAACGTTAGCCGAATAAATATTCGGTAACAACCTCGTGTTATTTTGTCGATGAAACAAAGTAGCAAAGCAATATTTTTTTGAACCGTCCGTCAGTTAAACTCGGTCTTATTAATCAATGTCTTCCTGGTTTGTTAAGCCGGCAAAAAGTTGGTAAAGGTGTTATCAACGGATAGTCATTATCAATAACAACCGTCCCGTATGAAAGAGCGCTGTCGGGTGGGGCTTCATTATTCGACTGGTGCTTCAGTAAAAAGAACTCAACTCAAGGAAGAAGGTTTCACATGCAGAAGACGAACGACTGTGGACCACCGACTTGGATTATCGGCTTTAAAGAAGACGAAGAAGTTGAAACACTAGCCGAATAAACATCTTTATCAACTTCGTGTTAGCTTAACAACCCAATGAGGTGTTGATCCTTTCCATTGAGGTTAAAGGAAGGTCGGTTTAAAAAATGTTGTTTTTCAGACGTACTTTGAAAGAGATGCTCATTAAAAAATCAATGCACATAAAATTCATGACCTTTATTTAATCGACTGAACTGGGATCGCTTTCAAATTGCCGTAACGGTCGTTATCATTTTCGTCGTCGGACAACAACAGTAACAACAACGACAACGACAATGACGGCGATATCTGTTTATAATCGAATCGGTAGTGAAACCAGTTCATTGACGACGTCCACGTAAATATCGTAAATGCCAAAAGATAGACGCCGATCTGTAAATCGAATATTCGATTCGTTAGGTACTTGATAGATGTGGTGAAATGAAACATAGAACTCTGTCCAATATTCGAATAATTAATGGTTTCGTAGAATTTATACTTCTTGGACTTCTTTGTAAGAATAGTAAAATAATAGAGGTGAAGCGTTCTGCGCACGCCATACATTCGACTCAATGCGTAGCGTTTTAAAGGTGGTTGAATACATATTTAGTCTGAACAATGGCTAGCGGTGGCTCACCGATGTATCATATCAGTGTAATTATTTCTTAGATCTCCGATGGCAATATGTCGATCTCGTAGGGATGGAAGGCTTATTCCCACGACCGGCTTTCTCTTAGCCTCGGCATTGATTTAACAAATCTATGTATTATTGTTGAGAAAGCACGAGGTGTTATTTCATTTCTCTATTTACGAGCAAGCAGACGGTGAACTTGACCTTTCCAGGCTTTGAGGAAGGTGGGATCACGCGAAGCGTCAACTTGCTTGCAAATAAAAATATAAAGTAACACCTCGTGTTTGCCCAATAAGAATACAAGGAATGGAAGGCTTGATTTCTCCAGGGTGCGGGAGCAACCCAATGGCTACAGGTATATTGCAGGCACCTCTGATCACTGTGCCATCGAGACCCTTATGAGAATAGGAGAAGCTTCTCCAGTGTTGGACATGGTTTAGAGCAATCGTAGCTCATTTTTTCATGCAATAAATCTCGCAGTGTCACTTACCAATGAGTGGTGTGGGTCTTCCTCTTTCTTCTGTGCCTATAATCTTATTCCGATGACGTGTTTGGTTGAAAAGCAGACAATTCTACTGTTTTTTCTGCATGTGGATCTAAAAAGTCAAACATTCAATTTGACTTACTGCTTAAAATCGTTCCATATAACTCTTCCATGAAGAAACAAATTTTCTTACAAGTATTTCTTTAGAAATGATGTGTGAACAGCAGTAACGTAAACGATTATTTCTCGTTGAGTGCGTTTCACGTATTCTTAACAGCAAACCAGTTTTAAGCATATTAGGGAACATTCCAACTACGAACTGAGCCGTTATGAAATAACAATACTGGTTTCTTGAAGTTATTAGTGTGACAAAGAAGCTGATTTGTAAGTTCGTGGAGATCAATGTGTTTGTTGAACCCTCTGGTGAGTGTTTCAAAACCGACTTTCCTTTAACCTCGGTATTACTAATCAACATGTATTCTTTCTTTGATGAGCTTACACTAGGTTGGTAAAGATATTTACGTCATGGATTTGAAGCTTTCGTCGTCCGACGACGGATAGATGACTTAAGGTTTCAATCAAAACATACGAACGAAATAACTGTTATCATTCAAAGAAACTGCATCGTATATCTTTGATGACTGTTCGCAACAGCTTGAAGCCATAACGCCGTAGTATTTTGCAGTGTTTGAGGCCATCTCGGTGTTTTTTTCTTAGAAAAGGTTTCTGTAAATCATCAAGTGTAGAGAGATTTTCCTGCTCTCACTCCTATTATTTTGATCCGCTTTCGATTAGCTATTGAATGGATGTACGTAGTGCGATTGACAAAAGCTCAGGAACCCACAAAACTGAATGTCGACAGTGTAACATCGGTACAGTTTCTCTCTCCAAACCGCTTTGTGAAACATATTGTCCATGCGGACGTCATGGATTAAATAAGTCCACTGATTGGAAATAAGAAAACCATGTTAGTTAGGATGCCGTGCAACACTCGTGTGCTAACTGGGTACGGCCTCTCTACAGTCCAGCCAGACCTGCCACTCTTCGTGATTCGGAAAGGCTATTTGGAGAGAAGCTTCCTATGATCCACAAAGACAGGCGACTACTTAACATGGAAATGCTGTAATAGTACAGCCACAGCAGGATTCCAAGAAGAATCAGTTTGACTAGCACTCAGCAACCTTCGTAAAGAAGACATGGTTAGCAGTCTAACTAAACTCAATTCCAAACCCCGTCGTGGACGACAGTTTCGAGACTACGAGCTGAATGAGAGAAGTAGTACTGGGATAATTTGTGACATCGGATCATACAATTAAATAAATGGCATTAATTTAAACAAATGAATAAAGTTTCATCGATTGCCACTATTGGGCACAGATCTAAGGTCAGCGTCCATCTTGTCTGGAAGCTATGGCCCGAGCTTTGCTGAGATTTGTCTCAATGAGGGGTATGTAGCTAATTTGTGGAACTAGCAACTCAATATTAGAGCGTACATTATTTTGTTGTCATTTTTGTTTCTATTTGCTGGAAATCGTTCATTGTCGCTGGTTTTCCCGTTCACTCGAGTAACTCTTTAAAGAATATCTGGTTGCATGTTGCTTACCAAACCAAAAATCGTTTTGAAAACTTCACCAAATAATTTCATTCGAGGGAAAGAATTAATTGTACTGCAAAATTCTGTGGCCCATTACTAGTTACAGTATCCATGATAGGCACGGTTTCTCTAAAAAGTAACGGTTGTGGGGATCAATGGCATACGTGACACCTGTGAACAGATGATTGTGTTTTTTCAATGCATTCTAAGCTAGAAGCCTCAGTACCGTATTCATCAATGGTGGTAATGGCAGAGAGGAATGTCAGCTGAATAATCAATTACCGTACTACAAATGAAACCTATGTTTTCACTTGAAGAATTTTGCTTCTGATGAGTAGTACGGCTGTCAACAAATCACTGAGTAGCAAGTCTCCTTACTCTGTCTCCTTTGCATTTTTTAAAGATTTAGACCTCTCAACGGTTTACAGCCTCGTACTGGCTGGCAGGTGTTCCTGGGTGTTGGGCCGTGATGTACACCGTGGGGATTCATCCTCCAGCGGGGTTTGCCAGGTTAAGAAGGAGTCCAACGTTTCCATCAGGAAGCCAAGCTAAGAGCAAAGCAGTGCAAGGATCCACTATCGTCCTGGTATCGAACTAGTCGCGCGGTGGCAAATGTTCCTCTGTTCCACAATGGCGGTGACTGCCTGTCGTGGTGAAGACCTGGAGCAGACTTTGGCCAGGCTGTCCTCGGGATTCCAGGGAACCACAATGGCTTGAGCAGCAAATCTTCGAAAAATGGGAATTATCCTGGGCCCGCACAATCAGTGAAGACGGGCTATCCAACGTCCAAGTAAGTAGGCAAAGACTTAGAAATTCTACGAAACCATGGAGATGCCGTTATACCTGCACTTCATCGGAAAATTTCCTGTACTATCTATGCTTTGTATTGAACCATTCATTAATTGTCACATAGATTGGGTAGTCTTATCAATACGAGTAGAAGAAAAGAAGAACTATAGTACTTGACCCAGACTTTGTGCTTAACAACAATCGCAGGAGCATTTCTTTTAAACCAGTTTCTATTGTCACTTTCATTCATCTGAATACATCTATACACGAGCGAATAGTAGTTTTTTCAGAAGAAATGTAGTTCATTTTTGTAGAGAAAATCTTATTTATGATATTTTAAGGTTTACGGATCAGTTTATTGGGATGAGTATTCAACATGTCGGGACGATGCGGATTACGGTAACACGACGTTGGTATGTGATCCATCACATCGCCTAGCGAATATCACCACGTCAAAACTTACGGATATGCTAAAAACACTGCAGTGGAGAATAGGGTAAGTGAGAGGATAAATTACGAAAAGCGTTCCGCGTTGATAAATCCATTATAGATGAGCCTTGAATTCGAGTCCATTCGTTTATTGGTGAAAATTTTGGAAATCTATCCACAAGGAGCGGCACGTGTAGTGCAGTGCTCGGAGGCGCCCTGCAATGCATTGGGGTCTCCATTCCACGTCCCAGGCTCACCAAGTCTTCCATCCCTCCGGGATCGACAGATTGATACCGGACCTGTCTGGGAGGACAATAGCACTGGCACTATACATTGGTAGACCATTGTGAGTCTTTCTAAAGGCCAGATATGCATTCAATCGCTTCCAACGGTGCTTAATAAAGTCGAATGGTTGGCGCATCGCTTAGAGCTTTACCACCGCGGGGAGCTTTATGCTTTTATTTTATGCACAAAGTTACGTCTTGCCGGAAACACTTTCATATACTATTAAATTAGCAAGTGTCTGACTGTAAAATCTTGACTGACTTGACACATTTCCACTGGAATGGACATTTGCGCATTCTAGGCTTTTCTTCTATTTTTCTTCTATTAGCAAACTGAATAAATTTCTTCGAGCTTGGAAAACACGTAGAGGTTTTTGAGAGAATTCAGCATACTGTAATCACGAATCATCGAATATCCGAATAGGTCAACATTTTAATGTTTTCTCTTAGAAGTACTTCGTATGTAATCAATAGCGATCAGTTCGGAAAAGTTTTAGGAATGATGATGCCCTTTTCGAATGGGATCGATATCTACTTTTATTTGACCTTTTCGGATTTTTTGATCCTTCATACAAGTTCAATTCCACAATTGCTGTTTTAGGTGCGAGTGTGTTGATGGATGTCGACGAGCCAATGGAAGAGATGAATTCATCGGGCTTCTACATGTAACAAGCACTAAAGCTGTAAGCAGTTTGATCGTGACTACTTACGCATAAACGTATTTTGAATTTGCGTCCAACCATTTCTATTGATGAAACCAATTTTCATATAGTAGACTGATCCCAGCACATCCTTCATTTGGGTCGTTTTTCTCACCGGTAATACACGAAAGTCTTCGGTGTTGCTCGTTTGTCCTGCACTACGCATTACATCGGTGACTGGCTCTATCTGGTGTCCTGAGCTCACTAAGCGCCTATTCCTTCGTCGTCTGCAAATTGGTAATAGTCCTGTATACGAAGATAGCAGCACTGACTCGTTGGATCTGTCGGCCACCGTCTCTCATAATATAAGTCACACATGAATTTCGTCAACTCTAACTATGCTTATGGAATTCGAAAGCATGGCGCATCTTTCGGGCATCGATAAACATCGAATCCCTTCCATCCTTTATTCATTTTTCTGACATCGTCCTATTTAAATGGTTGGTTGAACAAGATTTCTTCCTGCAGAAATTCCAAGGAAACCGTTTGTTTAGCTGTTTTCGCGGGCAGTTGCCAGCGGTCGTGTACCGGGAGTTGATTTTGAACCTTTCTTTCTTTGAGAGCATGCCAAAAACATCGGACTCACTCTCTGTTTGGGTAACTTTTACTGAAAACGAAGAGCCGGAGGTAAGGGGATGAATCTCTTGAGGTGCATCGTAGTTTATCCTTTGCTATAATTAAGGAATAAACCACTTAATAGCTGATTGTGAAACTATTGTAAAACTACATTTATCAGTTCTAAAAAATTACACATATTGTAAAAGTGACACCACCGACTTAACGTAGAGCTTGAAAGAGAACTTTCGAACACATAGACGCTTAAGCACTAAAGAATTTTTAGAAACTAGCACATTATTCGGGAATTTTATTCAAAAACCTATTTACCAGCTTGTTTTTCATTTAGACGGACGACTTAAAATCTGAAATGGAGAAAGAATATGCGGATGCGAAACTTGGAAACGTCACCTGCGACAACGGATTGTTGCTTGTCTACCTGAAAGATGCGCAAAAGGTTTGCTATGAAAATCATAGCAATCGATTTCTTCATAAATTTCTCTTTAGCTTCATGTCGACGTAGATCATCCAATAAGCATAGGGATTTTCGCATCTGTCTAGTATCGTACTTCACCTGAAATGGATCAATGGCCAGTCAAAACGATGCTTTTATGAAGCGCCAAACAAAGAATGCTTTTGCAGTAAATTTACTTAACAAAAATGGGTTTCATTAAGTGGCAGAATAGGAGACGAAGAGAGAGGGAAGGAGAAAAATAGAGTTAAAGAGACAAGGAGAGAGGAAACGAAAAACAAAGTGGTATTAAACTTTTTATCTCTTCAGGAAACTTTTCGAACTATAAAAGGTAGGACTTTTTCATTTTAATGAGTACCAGCAATATAATTTTTCAAGTATTTAGGTTTTTCTTAGCTAAAATATGCAAATGAAGAGTTTTCTTTCTACCCAAACATTATTGCTATTTCGGTCGTTAGTAGTAGAACTCCATAAGAAGGCAACTTCAAATCAGATCCTTAAATTTTATGGCGACCTTCAAAATGTACCTAAGCGAGCTCTCAAACACTAACGCCATTTATTTTGGTAATTAGAAGACGTAAATCCTATCCATTAGCCAGACCGCTAAACAAATGCCAAGGCCACTGGTGGCTTACCGCGCCACCCGCTGAGGTTCAGCGCCAACTGTCGGAATCGCCGACCTTGTCACTCAATTCCATTGATGACAAGAGTTTTGAAAATTCTTGATCTGATAATAGCAGGTAAGAGGCGATGGGGATGTGAAAAGGAATGGACTGGCAAAAGACAAGATGTTTTATTTAATTCAAGTGACACTGGCCCATGAATTGTTGCTGGTTAGGTTACTGTCTTATGCTAACTGTAGTCTCGCTCTTGGGTTATAGGCTTGTCTGTCAGTTAATCGCTATTATCGATTGAGAATAATGATGAGACGCTGAAGTGCTGCGTAAGTTTTAAGCTTAAGTAAAGCAGCGACTAATGACTTGAAATATCTGCTTATGACACTGCGCTACAAGTCCTTAAATAAGAAATGAGCGCCGAGTGCAGAAATAAAGTTATGGAACAGACGTTAATCATCTTTTGAACACATTGAAGAATAGCGCACATTAAGAGATTTACAAGGTTGAAAGTGGTTTAAGCTGACGGTATGAAGTCATTGAGCCATTAAAAAAGGAAACTATTCTGAAATCTTTCGGTTTCCTGCTTCATTCATTTTTTTATTTCTATAAGCGTTGATTCCTATTTTGAATAGGCAACAAACGTTGATCTCCTTAAAAACTTCTTTTATTCTGGTACGCAAGAAAGAGAAAGGTCCAATGCGTTCAATCTCTGTCCCATATCTAATCTCTGTCCCATATCTTCCTTCCTCTTTCATGCCTTTTACTTCGCCCCTCGGTGTCTTTCTTTTCTTAGACCTTAAAATCTTTTTTGTCCCAAGTCTTCTTAAAATCAAGAGCGCAATTTTTTATCTAATTATCATCATTCGTCTACTTTCATTCTAAGATGATGTCAGTGGTGATTTTAGCCGTTGATTTTAATCTTTTGCCATTTCTAACCGAAATTTGAAAAAAAAGGAACAGAGAAACTAAAATTAGGCCAATTCCGGCTAAAAAACTTTACTCGCGCTATTTTGTCGATGCAATCGATTATCATTTTAAAGGATGCTCTCATATTTATATTTATACTTTTATACTTTTCTGACACGGTGCTACATTGTACTGTTTAGATGTTTGCTACAGTAGTAATGTCAGCATAGTATAGCATAGTAACACAATGGACGTGTGCGGCGCAGTGGTCGGGGGCGCCATGCAACACACACGTGGCATCGATCCCCGCGCCCATGGTCCACCAAGTCCTCCATCCTTCCGTGGCCGGTAAATTGGTACCAGACTTGTCTGGTAGGGTAGCAGTACTGGTTGGATACATCGGTAGGCCACCGCGAGCAATTGCAAAGGCCAGATATGCATTCAGTTACCTACAAGGATACTACTTAATGAAGTCGATTGTATGGCGCATCCCTCGGGAACTGGTCAATGCTGAGAGCTTTATTCTTTCTCCTTTTAACAATTATTACGTGGTATAGTATTACGTAAAAATGTTTTCATTTTTTTCATATGGTTAGGTTTTAGTTCTACTTTTAAATTTATGCTTTATTTTACATTTTTATGAGCAGAGACTGATCTCGGCCTTATTCTTTAAATTCCTTCATTTTTTTGGGTTTATAAAGAAGCAAAAAACCTCCATGTGACAAATAATAGCTGTAATTTCTCTAGCCGTTGGAAAAGCATTAGATGGGTGGCAGCGACCGGTTTTGATATGATTGAGAGAAGACAACGTGCTATCAGGATTCTATGAAACTCGCTTCAGTCGTATCACCAGAATAGTGGAACCACATTGAAATCGATAATAACGGCACTAATAATAACATTGCTTGTATTAACAAATTCACAAACGCATGCATTGATTGCAATGCGTATAGTGAGAAAATGGTGACTTTGTTCCAATCCGTCGTAGCTCGTACCATTAGCATTTATACAGAATTCTAAATACATCTAAAATCCAGTGAGTTCTTGACGAAAATTTCACATACGTTTGATCACGGAGAGATAAAGAGCTTGGTTGTTGGTTGCAACCGCCTATGCATTTCACAGCGTCTCTAACCATTGCGCTACACTTGCCACCTCGCTATGTGTTGGCATTGAGTTGAAAATCTAGCTATGAACGTATAGCACCGCCTCGGTGAAGTCAGACGTCAATCAACGTGACAAAAATCGATTCTGTCGAACATGGCTAATATCACTTGAAAGAATCACTAACTATGCACTGGACAGGCTACGAATCAATATCGATCCCCTGAAGATGACGAAATCATGAGGAAAAGTATTTAACAGTTTATTGTTGTTAGTCATTTGGGAAGCCAAAATATGAAGTATCTAGTTAGATTTTACGAAATTTCGCTAAGAAACGCAGTAAAGCCGACGTCTTCATAATGAGGGTTTTGCTTCTGTGGCAGTGTGGAGAACAACAGCACTAAGAAGCTGTTAGAAGTCAATATCCAAGGCAAAATCCGTCTTCATGAAGAGTGTTAATCTGTAGAACAACAGCCTTTGACAACGGTGGTGATAACGGCGAAGTCGTCGACATCGTTCTCTTCGTCCTTCTCCTCGCACTCCTCGTTATTGTCATCGCCCATGTTCATCTTCATCCTTACCGTTGTCGTCACCAAGACGCTTTACATTGACTTTATACACAATCATAGAACAAACACACCCACACACACCCACACATATACACAAAGGCATACACATATATACGCATTCACATTCACACATACACACACACAAGCGTGTATACACACAACACATACGATAGACAAACATACACACATACATACATACAAGCGTACATACACACAACACCCACACACGCGCAAACACATCTACGTGCGCATATAACTTCTCTGTTAGCATTTATTGACAAGAGGAACCCGTTTCGTTTCGTTTTTTGTCACTTCTCTCGTCCGAATTCTTATTATATTCGTCGCAAAAATTTCGCTCCGCGTGCTTTTCTATTCGTCTCACCCATTCCTTCGTCCTTTCATGTTCAGCCACAATTCATCTTAAAAGCTTTCAAAATACCGCAAACATGAACGATTATCGATTGATTAGGAGAAATTTTGACATATATCGATTACTGAGGAAAGTTCCTGTTTGCAGAAACGTTCCCAGTTCTCCGATCTTTTTAAAAACAACTGTTCTTTTTTGTTCCTTCAGATAAAATTGTTTGTTATCTGTCATCCAACTTTATTATCCGCGTTGTTGCTTCTATTTACTGTTAATTATCATTATTTACCACTAACTGTTATTATTGTCATTATGATTATTGCTATTATTAATTTTTACTATTTCGTTATTGTTATCAATTATCAGCATTAATTGTCTTTATCATCAATTTTTGGGTTGCATGTGGCACAGTGGTCAGAGGCGCCGTGCAACGCACGTGGAATCGATCCCCGCGCCCAAGCCTTCCACCCATCCGGGGTTGACAAACTGGTATCAGACTTCTCTGGAAGGATAATAGCACCGGCTCGACCCATCGGTAGGCCACCGCGAGTCGTTGTAAAGGCCAGATATGCATTCAATCACCTCTAAGGATACTTAATGAAGTCGAATGCATGGCGCATCTCTCAGGATTGATCAACTTCGATAAATTAATCCTTTTATCCTTTTATCATTGACTTTTACTATCATTAATATTTCAAAACTATAAAACTATCATTAATGATTTTTGGTGATAATTGTCATTACTTATTTATCTTTTATTCTCTTTTATTTAACACGTCTTCGTCTAGCGTGCGGATCCCAGCACTTCTTACATTCGATTCGTCTTATCCATTATCCACGAGGAGCTTCCAACTTCTACGTGTGGCTTGGCTTGCTGTTTGTAGATTTCCATTCCATCTTGAATGTCGTAGAATGTTGGTCGAGCAATTCTTCCTCGAGTACTGAGACAACCTGGCTGTAACGTGCCCAATTAGATTGCAGAGCGTGATTTTTTTTCCTCAGACAAGTCCGGTACCAGTTTGCCAACCCCGAAGGGATGAGAGGCAGGCTGGCAAAAAGCCGAGTCGAACTTGCGCCATCTCTTGATGACCGGCATCACTACCACTGTGCTATCCGCTCCCTACTGCTATTACTACCTATGTCATTAGTATTATTACATTTTTGGTATTATTATTATTGCTATTATTGCTAATGTTACTATTCGTATGGACAGTCCTTTGATTTCCCATTGTCGCTCCCGAAATATCTTCATCGGAATTTTTGGCAACGTTGTACAATGCTTGGATTTTTCACCCTTTTTGTTTTCACGAATGCCGACGGATCAGCAATAGAAAAGTCGTCGTCCGCTCTCATACAGTGAACGGACAAGGGAGATGCCGTTTTCTGAGTTCATCAGTTGGTACTTTGATTTGTGCCAAGTGTTGGAGAATTCCACATTTAACTAATTTCAACTAAAACATTTGGACAGTTGGATAATTAATAGGCTAATCTTCGTGACTCATGCATTGGGTTGCGTAATTTCCTCACAGACTGATAGTTTATCCATAGTTGAGGATGTATGTAACGCAATGGCTAGAGGTGCTCTGCAATACACACGTGTTCCTTGGTCCCATCTCATACGCCTGGTTAACTAGGCTCTGCATCACTCTAGGACCTGTAAATTATTATCGGATTCGTATAAGAGGATGAAATTACTGGCGTTATACGTAGGTAGGCCTCAGAAAGTTATCCTATAGGCCCAGATATGCATTCAAATCACTTCTGGAATACCAAGAGCGGAGTCGGTTCCATGACCAATTCATAAATGGTCCATTAATCAAAGCCAAATTCTTTACGTTTTTATTGGTATTTTGGGGATGGCATGTTTTTTGTTGGAGTCCTAAAATTGCAGTGTCAAGGCTTTCCTTAGTCTCCACAGGAAGATAATAACCATTGTGGACTGGGAGATGGTTTGACACATTGTCGTCAAATTCCTACTGGAACGGCGGCGGTGATTTCTGCAAACACAGGTCTTTTCTCACTTTATGTGACTTTACTTGTCACCCAAAACAAAATTTTCAAAAAGAAAAGGACGGAAATTTAACACAAAGGTTGATTGGAAAGGAACTGGATTAGAACTAAAAAATTTGGCGTGTGAGAGTTTATTCAATCGTAAAGGAATTAAAATCTGTAGAAAATCGATTCTTTCACATTGTTGAACAAATTCCATCCAATCGTTTTAGTTTGAAAAACAAGTTGTTAGACGATTCCAACTCCTCGTTTCAGTTGGCTACCTATCGTGGCGGTGATTCTTTTGTGCTGTTGACCGACGAGGACATGGAGAAGTTACACCAGCTCGCGTCCAAGGTGAGCGATCATCTATTTTATATGTTCGTTAAGTTTCTGAGAGTATTTAAACATAACCACAATAATTCTGAGATATTTGGAAAGTCAGGAGCCCCAGGCCGGCTTCTACCCCCCATTATCCTTTCTGTGGGCTCACGTGTTATCAACTGCACCACCGGGGCCGTTGCTTTACCTTTCTCTCACCCAGCATCTTTTTTACGAGTGTACCAAGCATAACTATTTGCAAAAAGACGGGATTAAGCACTAATATAATCTTTATTAGGAAAAAGAGTTTAAGATATAGCATAAAATCTTTTTTTTTAATTAAGAATAGATAGCGGAGCAAGGTAACTAAATATTATCACTATAATAATAATAAAATCACTTATTTTTTTTATTTCATTTGATCCGTCTTCATGTCTAGCGTGTGGATCCTAGCACTTTTCACATTCGATTCTCTTCCTCGCATCCATTGTCCACGAAGATCTAACTTTTACGTGTGGCTTTGCTGCTTGAGGATTTCCATTTCAATTCCTAATTGGATCGCAGAGAGTGATTTTTTTTCCCACGCAAGTTCGGTACCAATTTCTCGACCCCGAAGAGATGAGAGGCTTGATTAGCCCGGCGCGGAATCGAACTAGCACCATGCTCCTGATGTCGGACATCACTGCCACTGTGCTATCCGTCCCTATTTTATCATGTCACTTTATATGGTTTAAATAATGGATAGAATGACAAATTAAGGAGATACTATGGCAGCAGACGCTTTCTTGGAGGCCAAAGAAATAAACTTTAGTTAAAAATTCTTGTTTTCTTTCGAAGAGTTCACGAGTGGATCAATCCGCAGAAAAATCAAAATAGCGCCCACCGTAAACTGTGACAACAATCTCTTTAAACGGTTATTTCACCTGCTAAGACGTCGTACTGTTCTCATCTGATTGTTAGTCGTTTTTACCCACAGCAAAAGCCACTATGTAAGCAAGCCGTCGCCTCACCCACTAAGTTTCTTGTGGAAATTTATCGATGAAAAATTGAACATATATGTTAAACCGTAGTGGCGTAGGAGTACTGGCAACGATAAGCCGACTAGGTGAAAGGAAATACGTTAGAAGCAAGTTTTGATGGTCGTTTAGAATAAAAATCGTAGCGGATTGTTTTTTTTTTCACTTATGTCAGTCCGTCTCAAACAGTTATTTACGTATGAAAGAGTAGAATTTTTTATTTACTTATTTTTTTATTGGTGGGAAGGGGTGGGGAGGGGGATTCTTTATATCAGAAAACATCAGTGATGCTTTTTATTTTGGTATTCTCAATAGGGTCATGAGAACTTTAGACGACGCTTTTTTCTTAACACTATTTCTTCAGTATCACTAGGGGAACCATGTTTGTGTGAAACTAAACTGAAATAGATTAGAATTAGATAGATAGAATAGAAAGGAAAATAGATTTTTTACTTATGAGAATATGAGTTTCTGAGGATTTCCTACTGATCGGAATTTTCCCGCCGAATTCGCTGTCGATGGCAATTCGGTCTTAGCAGTGTTGAGAAACAAGTCTGAGAAATTTTCTTTTCTAGGAAATCTTTGCTCTGAGAATGTCATTCAGTTCTAACAAAACAGAATTATTCTGAAAAACGATTTCATTTCCCTACCTCTGGAAACTTTAAATAGTGAAAGAATCTTGGAATGCACAAAAATTCGTAGTTATTTCCTCACCGAAGATATTAAATGGCAAGTGGTACGAACGTGCTGAATCCATACTACACATGAAATAGTTTTTAAAACACAACGAAGAAAGATTTTAAGTTTTTCATAGATGGTTCTTGTAGAAAATAGATTTTTTTCTATGTAGGCACAGAACTACGACGCCGATAATACGCTGGCGTTACAATTCCTCTTGAACAACTACAAAGATGTGGTCGCCAACCCTGTACAACGAGCCGAATCATGGCTGGTGAGTTCAATAGGGAGTAGTGTAGCCGGCACTTCTGAGCACTGAAAGAACTGAAGGAAAAAACAAGCAGAGTACGTTTCAGCAAGCTTTACATGTTGGGGAAACTGTGCTGCAGTCATGTTTTACTATGGTCATGAACGAAAAAATCTCTTTGTAGCCTTAAATTTTTTGCTTAGCATTCAAGTTACAAGTTTAGCGCTACCGTTTCGTAATGGAGATTTTCTTCTGAGGAAGACTAATGAAATGCTTCGAATCCGACTAAGGCAAAAGTTGTATTCTAGTTTTTGAGAACGAAAAACTAGCTAGTACTTAGAGTTTATTAAACAATTTACTTACTTACTTCATACTTGAACGGCCCATCCTCACTAGTTGTGCAGGCCCCAGCATAATCCACATTTTTCGGAGATTTGCTGGCTAAGCCATTGTGATTTCCTGGAATGCCGAGGTCCGCCTGGTCAAAATCTGCCTCGGGTCGTCACCACTACAGGCAGTTGGAGTCCTTGTGGATCAGAGGGAGATTTGCCATCATGCGACTTTGATACCAAGACGGTAGTGGAGCCTGGTAATGGTTTACTCTTAGCTAGGCTTCCTCATGAAAACACCGGACTCCTCAGCTCAACAGACCCTGCCAGGGCGATGATTCCCTCCGCAGTACGTCTCAGTCCGACTCCCAGGAACACCTCCCAGCCACGGTGAGGAGGTAAACCATGGGGGCGATTAAATAATTTGCTGAGAGTTAAAAATAAACCACTGAAAGGATTGTGTAGTGATTTAAATTTAATTTTTTTCAATTCTTTAAGAAGCCTTTTAAATTAATTGATATTGGAACCAGTGCATAGTTTGGCGGTTTGGAGAACGTTAGAGTGACAGTATGCGAGGTTGGTCGCTCGTCATTGCGTTTCTTGCCGTAGACTTAAGACTAGGTTTCCGCTTGAGTTTGGGCTTAGGTTTCAGCTTAGGCTTAGATTTAAGCACAGACCTATTAAAAATATGACACTTGTTTATCATTTAATCCTTTCATGATTCAATCCAATTGCCATTTACAATTACGAAGATAACGACGCGAAATTTCGCTGCTGTCCCGATCTAAGGGTAAATTCTTCAAGACACCAGTTTGGTTTTCTGACAGCTCTCTATAGTAAATGAATCTTCGTTCAAGTTTTTATTTTATCCTAACGCCTTAATACCAATTCCTAATTCTTCAGGTTCCTTCACATAGTATTTATTGGTTTTGTTAGATTGGATTTGTACTACGAAGTTCTCTGATTCGAGCTATGGAACTGTAGGCACACTCTTGTTTGCAAACATATTAAGTAGTACTTAGTAAACTTCGTGAACAACAAAACCACGTTTTGTTCAAACTGAATGTCGAAGCACGACACGCCTATACCCAGAGCCCCATTGCACTGCTCCACCTTCTCGCTGTGTACCGATTTTACGGCGTGCTTAAATGAATAGAGCGTCTTTTATGACTGTCCAACATACGATCGTTACATTCCGATTATCATCTAGGCGTTCTTATATCCCTTAAATCAAACGTTCTCAGCATCAGAGATCATGTAGAATCTTTCGAATACGTCTGAGAACAGTTAAAGAAATGAATGAACAAGGAAAAGAGAAAAGTAAAGAAGAAAATAAAAAACAAGGAAATCATGGCGTATTGAAGCGCGACGTCTACTTTCTATTAGTTTTTGCTTTCTCGGATATTTTCTATCTTAACTTTTTTTGAGATATTCGTCTATAAACTGAATAAGTACGTTCTTCCATAAGTGAATAGATTGATGAGTTGGCTGTTCGTAGGGAGATTACCTGTATGCCACTTGATCCATAAATTCAATCTAATAGTGTTCCGCGGTTTTCTCCTTCTTTCCGATCGTCTGTTAACTTTTCGTCAAAGTGAAACAAAAGGTGAAAGAAAGAGATGCGATCTTGATCGACAACGTTGTTCCTCCTCTAACACCATCGCATCGACCTTGTCGTATGTCAAGCGCTGCTAACGCCTTCTACGCAGAGATTTGCCGATATTGTTAATTTATGATCGAACCAAACTAAACGCCAAGGCTAAATGAAAATCTGACCATAGGGATGCAAAGACAAAACGAAAACGAATGGATCAATTATTGGCTTAAGATTGATGTTTGGTGACGTAAGGTGCAGATAAAGAAGTTCTTTGACCGAAGTGATTGAGCTTGTTTCAGTTTAGCAACAAAAACGTTTATATTGATTACAGCAAGTGTTTTAAAATCTGTTTAAATGTTTTAACATTTTCAAAAATCATGAGGCAGGCAGCACAGTGGTAATGATGTTCGCCATCACGAACATGGTGCTAGTTCGATTCCGCTGCAGGCCAACCAAGTCTCTCATCCCTGCGGGGTAGTGAAAGTGGTGTCGGATTTGTCCGGGAAAAGAACCACTCTCTGCAATCAGATTGTGAACGCTCCAGCCTGGCTATCTCAGGACTCGAGTTAGAATTGCTCGACCAGCATTCTACGACATTCAAGATGAAATGAAAATCCTCAAGCAGCAGCCGAAGACACACGTAAAACTTGGAAGACATTCGTTGATGACTTATGCAAGGAAATGAACTGGATGTGAGTAGTGCTGGGATCTGCACAATAGTCGTGAGGACGGATCAAACAAAATGAAATAAAAATAAATGTTTTAAAATCAGCCCGTATACGACATGGTTTCGACTTGATCAGGTTGATAGTGATGATGATCAACATCATGAACCTTTCATGTCAAGATGGATTCATCGTCCGTTGATAGATCGTATGTTTCGTATTGATTTCATTTTTTTCAGCCAATCATCGGTCTTATCGCTGCGATTCTTATTGTGTTGTGTGTCACCGGTGTACTGTGTTCGATGTTCATGGCAAAATTTTGTTGTTGTTGTGCGAAACGAAACAAAGAAGTCTATCATGTGAACACTTTGCCATCATACAAAACTATTGAGCCGTTGTACGTCGTCACACCGCCTGGGTTAGTTTGATATGTTGTAGCAAAAATAAGTTGCAATGTTAACTTTTTATTGATTACTTATTGTTATTTTTCACGGCAGGGTATGACGTGAAATATAAATACTATAATGCTGAGATATTTGGAAAACTCGGTGCTCCGAACAGATTCGAATCCTCAATTACCCTTTCTGTGGGCTCACGTAATACCCACTGCTCCACTGATGCCCTCGTTCTGCCTTTCCCTCAGACAGTCGTCTATCTAATGGTGCCATCAGCAATCAGCCGTCAACGGGAATGATCTGGGGGAGCACAAATTGGCATTGAACCCAATTAAACTGAGGCTCTAGTCGATATCACAGTGTTTGATTTTTTACCTACTGCTTGTTATTATGATTTTTCACTACAGGATATGATGTGAGATATAACCAATATAATGCTGAGATATTTGCAAAACTTGGACCGCTTGGGTTCAAAACCCTTGAAACTTGGGAAAATATGTCACTTTTCAAAATACCCAAAGTACGACGAAGACAACAGCTCTTCGTTTTTTATATAACTCTCTTCGTTCAGGGTTGTCATCATTCTACACTTCCAAGAATTCGATATTGTGATCTTGAGTCATGTCATCTGACGACGGCTTCAACTTCGGCCTCGATCGACATTTTATCGAAGGTGGCAATACAGAAAATGGAGGTGTGGAAGATTGCTGTACGGAGCCAAGAGATTTCCATGATTTTTTTGTGACTGACACTGGGAGGCCGGCCGTGAAAGAAGCTGAATAGTTGGGAATTGGTAGCGCAACATAATCGGAGCGCGTTAATGGTCTTGCAGTGGATACACAGGAAGAAAGACTTTATTACGATGTCATCAACCACATGCGGCTATAATCAGCTGTTCTAAACTTCCTCATTGGAAGTCACGAAAAGCGGCTCTGAAGAAGGCGATACTGCCGAAACGTCAGCTAGCGTTGTATTATATTGTGTTTTTTATGGAAGTAAATGTATGCTGTTTAAAAACCTCGCTATTGCTAAACAAGAAAACGACACATTCATATTCCAATGCCGAGGTTAAGAGAAAGTCGATTCTGGGAACAATGGCGCGCGTTCGTTCTCCACCGCATACACCTGCGGTCCGGAGATTTTGCAAATATCTCAGCATTATATACGAGTTATATTTCGCAACATACCCTGCCATTGAAAAGAAAAAGGCAGCAAATAAAAGGGCTAAGATTGTAATCTTAACCGTTTTATTTACTGCCTGCTCTTCTTAATAACAGGGTATATTGCGAAATATATTATACATATATAAATATCTCAGCATCTTTGAAGATAATGCAATAGTTTATTTTGTAATTCTTCGTATTTTTGTTGAGTAAACGCGAGGTGTTACTTTTATTCTTTATTCACGAATAAGCCGACGTTTCGCGGATTTCGCCTTCCTCAGAGCCCGGAAAGGTCAAGTTGACAGCAATCTATTCGACCAAACACCTCCATAACCAAACAAAGATAACGCTAAACCAGGATTTCAATCACATTTAGCATAGAATAGCTTCTTTGCACACTCACCGCTTTCTATGAGGCTTCCAGTGAGTATGTCGCGCGAAGACTAACCGCACAGAATTCACATGGAAGCGTAATGTGCCTCTCCTAGCAGAGCAACAGTCTTGTATACTGCCCAATATCAAGCGTGATAATGAGGCATTCTTCCCTGCTGTTCATTTTTCGGGCTTCTGGAATTAATCCAGAACGCCTCGAGAGCTTTGTGCGCTTGTGTTCTCTGAAGTACCACTAATACCGTTTTAGTTTAATTTCGTTTTTTAATACTCCACTAGGCACGCATGAGGATCCAGAGACATAGCGGGGAGGACTTTGAAGTACGTGTCAAGATCCTCGCGCAAGAATCGAGAACACGAGCGCGCAAAACTCCCGAAGCGGTCTGGCTTAATTCCAGAAATACGAAAATGAATCGCAGGAAAGAATGCTTCATTATCACGTGTGATATAGGACAGTATATAAACATGTTGTTCTGATGGCAAGAGCACATTACACTTCCATGTGAATTTTGTGCGGTTGGCCTTCACACGACATACTCACTGGAAGCCTCATAGAAAGCGGTGAGTGTGCAAAGAAGCTATTCTATGTTCAATGTGATTGAAATCCTGGTTTAGCGTTTTCTTTGTTTGGTTATGGAGGTGTTTGGTCGAATAGATTGCTGTCAACTTGACCTTTCTGGGCTCTGAGGAAGGCGAAATTCGCCGAAACGTCGGTTTATTCGTGAATAAAGAATAAAAATAACACCTCGCGTTTGCTCAACAAAAATACGAAGAATTACTTGATCAATGCCGAGGTTAATAGAAAGTCGGTCGTGGGAGTTTATTTTGTGACCAGCTGTAATTTTCTGTCTTTTCATCCATATTTTGCGGAATGAATCGAAACGTTAACGAAACTGTTTACTTCTCGGAAAATCTTTTATGACAACAATACTTTAGCTACCTCCGTTAAATCTTTTATGCAAACCTGATCAACTCCGTTGTTTTTCTTTCCTGCACACTTTCGGTGAAAATTTTTTCTATATTGGTCTTAGTTTCTCCCTGAAAATAAGGACTTTTTGGTATCTCCTAAACTCTTCTATTTAATCCAGACGTCTACCGCCAATACCCGATCAGATCTATTCGACACCGTACTCAGGCAGTCCTCTACCGTATCCACCGCCTCCGGGAGCAAGCATGCCGGTCACACCACAGTCCACCTTCAGGCATGCTGTACATCAAGAAACACCAACCATGAAGAAAGTAAATGTGGTACGCATTATTTCATTACATTTGTGTAATTCTAGTTAAACCTAATTGAAAATATAAAAATAACTGACGAAGTAACTAGAAGAAGTAAACAGTAATTAAAAGGTTTACTCGTTCTTCTCACCATTAATAGGATTACCTTGAAATTTAAATGCTTATTATGTTTGATGAGAGCCAAAGGGAAACTGGATATTTTCATCATATAGTGATAACAACATTCTAAGGGCGTGTGTGGCGCAGTGGTTGGAAGCGCCACTGCGACACACGTGAAATCGATTCCCGCGCCAACAGCCCACCTAGCCTTCCATCCCTCCAGGGTCGGCAAATTGGTACCACGGTTGTCTAGAAGGATAGCAGCACTGGCTTGAAATATCGGTAAGCCACTGTGAGTCATTGTAAAGGCTAGATATGCATTAATTCACCTCCAACGATACTTTATGACGTCGAATGCGTGGCGCATCCCTCAGCGACTGATCAACGCCGAGAGCTTTGTCCTTTATCCTTTTAAAAATATTCTGTTTCATACCGTAATATAGTATTCAGGATTCTTTCGTTCGACAAACTTTTCTAAATAACCTTTACAATTTTTGCTACTGAGGTGCTTTTTCGTTTTATCTATCATCTGTCTATTCAATCCGACAAGAAATCAAATTCATTGAGAAATTCTCTTTCTTGATAATATGCAGAAAATATGGAAGTCTTCTCGCCATGTTCCCATTTGTTACTACTGAAAGTACGCATAAATTCCAGTAGTTTCTTTTTTCAGGATAAGGCTAAGTTTTTCAGGAACCATGAACTAATTGGTCAAAAGTGACAAATACGAAGTATGAGTCGATGAAAAGCAAATGCATTGCACCATAAAGAGTTACCCTTCATTGTAAATCTAGAAAAAATGCTGTGCTACCAATCTGTTGTGAAAATTGTCTTGTTCGCCACAGTCATCGTCATATGCAGTAGTTTGCAGACGCGCAGTGAACCAGGATCCTTGCGACGTGGTCCTAGATCCGAATACTCCGTACCCAATGGAATGTACGCGCCACCAGATCTTCCACTACCGCCACCGGTGCTTCTGCCTCCAACCGAACTCTATGGAACAAGTAAGCTTTTTACTTTTATCATTCGGATCATCTATAGTGGGGTCCGTGTAGTAGTTTAAAGTGCCTGGCGATAGACATTGGATCGATTGCTGATTAGCACCGACTTACTAATCTTTCCATAGTATAGTGGTCGGCCATCAGTAAATTAGCACCAGACTTGTCTGAGAAGATAAAAGCACTGACATAGTAGATTATTAGGTTACCGTAACTTATTCTATGGACCGAATGCGCATGCAATGACTTTTAACGATGCTTGCTGAAGATGAATGCATTGCACATCCTCCAGGGATTGATCAAAATGGAATGTCTTGTTTCTTTATCCTTTATTACTCGTTGTCCAAAAAATCACTGAGATATTCGAGCATATATATATATATATATATATATATATGTGAACTGCATTGTCTCTATAGCACAATGGACTTGCTTGCTGAACTCAACTCGTTCGAAGAGCACGAAACTCGTCATTCCTTTGGTAAAGTGACCATCGCTTCATGGTTTGCCGTCGCTTGAGTTTACACTTAGGACTTTCTGATGGAAGTGCCAAATTTGGCTTGGAAAAACGGGTGACTACTCAGTTGAGAGATACGTGGAGTATCAGGCTATTCTGATTGCCTCTTTCTGTTGTAGAGAGCTTCTGGGTTTTTCAGTTAGTAGGATTACTCATAGCTGAGGTATCAAACTCGTTCTCCGTTTGAGTTACACTACTGTTGAGGAATTGTTTTTAACATAAATGTTGCACACCAGAGAACACCTACCCTACTAACACAATGTAGTTGTTAATAACTACTTGATACTTGTTGCTTGAATCACCCGTCCTCACTGGTTGTGCGGGGTCTAGCATAATTTCCCTTTTTCGGAGTTTTGTTTCACCGATGCCCCGAGGTTAGGCAGGCCAAAGTCTGCCCTAGGCCTTCACCAATACAAGCAGTTGCCAGGCATTGTGGATCAGAGGAAGATTTGCCACCATGCGACATTGATACCAGGACGATGTTGGATCCTGGTATTAGTTTACTCTTAGCTAGGCTTCCTCATGGGAACGCCGGACACCTTCTCAGCTTGGGAAACCTGCCAGGGGATCAATCCTCCTCTGTACATCGTAGTACGACAGGCAGAAACACCTCCCAGCCACGATGAGGGATAAACCGTTAGAAGGTTAAGTTACACTAGTGTTTAGGAATTGTTTTTACATAACTGTTGCACACCCAGGAAAACTTCCTCTACCAACACAATCCATTTGTTAGTCATTGAGGGATATTTTACTGGAAAATCCTCTAAATTCTTGGAATCTATAGAAATTCTATATATCTTCTGTTTTTCTAACGCGATAGTCTGCAGATGAATGCTCTTCCAATTCTTGGCTTTTAAT